GTTCTACTACGACAAAAAGAGAGCATCTAAATCACGCCTGCCACTAAGACCTGGGGAGGAAGTCAGGGTGCAGCTGTACCCGGGTAACAAGAGGTGGTCCCCAGCAGTTGTTGTGCAGCACACCCAGATCCAACATTGTAGACTGTGGCGGGACAGAGCTACGCCGCAACAGCCAACATCTTCGCAAAAGCACAGCGGTTGCAAATTGCTCTCAATTCAATTTTATTTATATAGCGCCAAATCACAACAACAGTTATCTCACAGCGCTTTTCATAAAAGAGCAGGTCTAGACCGAACTCTGTGATGTTATTTACAGAAGCCCAACAGTTCCCACCAAGAGCAGCACTAGGAGACAGAGGCAAGGAAAAACTTCCTTTAAGAGGCAGAAACCTCGAGCAGAACCATGGCTCAGGGTGGGCGGCCGAGAGAGAGAGAGAGAGAGAGAGAGAGAGAGAGAGAGAGAGAGAGAGAAAGGGAGAGAGGGGGATGTAAGGAGAGACAGAGGGGAGGCAGGCAGCCTACACAATATACACACAGAGGTACAGACAGTAAAGGTGATGTTGCTATAGACTAAATGAAAAATGGTACAGATATTTATAGTAGTGTTAATGGTAACAGTCGTAATGTTAATGATTATAATAATAATAATAGGACTAGCAACAATAGTCGTTGCAGCAGAGGGTGTCGAGCAGGAACACGGGGGCAGCAGGTGACCCGCAACCACAGATCCAGACTCCACAGCTCCAGAGCCAGAAACACCTGCAGGAACTGATAGGAGGAGAGAGGAGAGGGACGAGAAAGCACAAGACTACCAGAAAGGGGAGAAGTTGTGTTAGTAACATGCAATAATGGGATGAGGTTGCATACAGAGGGAGAGAAAGTAGAGGAGAGAGGAGCTCAGTGCATCATGGGAAATCCCCCGGCAGTCTAGGCCTATAGCAGCATAACTAAGGGATGGTTCAGGACTCACCTGAGCCAGCCCTAACTATAAGCTTTATCAAAGAGGAAAGTCTTAAGCCTACTCTTAAATGTGGAGATAGTGTCTGCCTCCTGAACCCAAACTGGAACCTGGTTCCACAGGAGAGGAGCTTGATAGCTGAACGCTCTGGCTCCTAGTCTACTTTTGGAGACTCTAGGAACCACAAGTAACCCTGCATTCTGGGAGCGCAGTGCTCTGGTGGGGTAGTAAGGTACTATGAGCTCTTTAAGATAAGATGGTGCCTGACCATTAAGAGCTTTGTAGGTAAGAAGAATGATTTTAAATTCTATTCTGGATTTTACTGGAACACGTGCTGCAGCATTCTGGATCAGCTGAAGAGTCTTAACGGACTTTTTCGAGCAGCCTGATAATAAGGAATTGCAGTAATCCAGCCTAGAAGTAACAAATGCATGGACTAGTTTTTCTGCATAATTTTTAGACGTAGGTGAAAAAAGGCGGTTCTTGAAATTTGCTTAATGTGAGACTTAAACGACATGTCCTGATCAAAGATAACTCCAAGATTCCTCACAGTGGTGCCGGAGGCCAAGGCGATGCCGTCAAGGGAAACTATATCTTTAGATAATGCGTGACGGAGGTGCTTAGGCCCCAGAGCAATAACTTCAGTTTTATCTGAGTTTAACATTAGAAAATTACAGGTCATCCGGGTTTTAACATCCTGAAGGCACATTTGAAGTTTAGCTAACTGATGAGTTTCATCTGGTTTGATCGATAGATATAACTGAGTATCATCTGCATAACAATGAAAACTTATGGAATGTTTCCTGATAATATTGCCTAAAGGAAGCATAAATAAAGTGAAGAGAATTGGTCCGAGGACAGATCCTTGTGGAACTCCATGACTAACATTGGCATGCATGGAGGACTTATCGTTAACATGTACAAACTGAAATCGATCTGATAAATAGGACTTAAACCAGCTTAGAGCGGTTCCTTTAATGCCAATGAAATGTTCCAGTCTCTGCAATAGGATCTGATGGTCAATGGTATCAAATGCAGCACTAAGATCTAATAAAACCAGTACAGAGACAAGTCCTTTGTCTGATGCAATAAGGAGGTCATTAGTAATTTTCACCAGTGCTGTCTCTGTGCTATGATGAGCTCTAAATCCTGACTGAAAATCCTCAAATAAACTATTGCTCTGTAGAAAGTCACACAGCTGTTTAGCAACTGCTTTCTCCAGAACCTTAGAGAGAAATGGAAGGTTAGATATAGGTCTATAGTTGGCTAAAACATCCGGATCAAGTTTGGGCTTTTTCAGAAGAGGTTTAATTACAGCTACTTTAAAGTACTGTGGTACATAGCCTGTTGATAAAGATAGATTGATCATATCTAGTATAGAGGTGCTGACTAAGGGTAAAACATCTTTAAGCAGCCTAGTCGGGATGGGGTCTAAGAGGCAGGTTGATGGTTTAGATGAAGAAATTATTGAAGTTAGTTGGTAAAGATTGAGGGAAGCAAAACAGTCTAAACATGTATCTGGTTCTACAGCTGCTTCTAAGGTTCCTGAGTTAAGAGATAAGTTGATGCCAGTTGAGGGCAGGTCTTGGTGAATTTTGTCTCTAATAGCTAGAATTTTATCATTAAAGAAGCTCATGAAGTCGTAACTACTGAGAGCTATGGGAATACTTGGCTCATTCGCAGCGAGCCTGCAGCACTATCAACAAAATGATCGATTTGGGAGGGACTGAAATTAGCATAGGAGTCCTCTGTTACTTTGTGACTAGATAATGAATTTAGAGCTGATGGAATCGCATCCTTAAATTTAGCTACAGCACTATCAGACAGACATCTTGTATAGAAATATTTGCCCAATGGCGTGTAGTTCAGCAATACAAACTCAAAAGTTATCAAACAGTGGTCGGATAAAGAGGGATTCTGTGGGAACACCACTAAATGTTCAATTTCAATACCATACACCAAAACAAGGTCGAGGGTGTGGTTAAAACAGTGAGTCGGTTTATGAACACTCTGAGAGAAGCCAATGGAATCTAACACAGAGATAAACGCAGTACTGAAGCTGTCATTCTCAACATCCACATGAATATTAAAATCTCCTACAATAATAACTTTGTCCGTTTAAGGACTAAAGTTGACAAAAACTCTGCAAATTCAGATAAGAATTCAGAATACGGGCCAGGTGCTCGGTACACTATAACGAAGAGAATTGGTTGCAGTGATTTCCAACTTGGGTGTGAAAGACTAAGAACAAGACTTTCAAATGAGTTATAGTTTAGTTTAGGTTTAGAGCTGATTAGTAGGCTAGAGTCGAAGATAGCTGCAACTCCACCTCCTCGGCCTGTGCCTCGAGGAATGTGAGTATTAATATGACTGGGAGGGGTGGATTCATTTAGGCTAACATATTCTCCATCACCCAGCCAGGTTTCAGTAAGACCAAATAAATCAATATCATAATCTGATATTAGTTCATTTACTAGTACACCTTTAGAAGAGAGAGATCTGATGTTTAAGAGTCCACATTTAACTCTCCTATTCGTTTGCACTATTGCTCTTGTGGTTTTAATTTTTATGAGGTTTTTATGCACAGCTCCTCTTCTGTTTACCTTTTTAAATAATTTCGATGGTCGGGGGGCAGACACCGTCACTATAGGATTTTCACTAAGTAACTCCTGAAATGGAGGAGCAGAGAAGTGTGTTAGACTGCGACTCTGCCTCCTGGTCTCAACTCTGGGTTGTCATGGATTTGGTCCACTAATAAACTTGGCCAGATTTCTAGAAATGAGAGCTGCTCCTTCCCAAGTGGGATGGATGCCGTCTCTCCGGATCAGACCAGGTCTTCACCAGAAAGTCTGCCAATGATCAACAAAGCCCACATCGTTTGCTGGACACCACCTCGACAACCAGCGGCGGAATGACGACATGTGGCTATACATGTCATCACTGGTCAGATTTGGCAGAGGTCCAGAGAAAACTACGGTGTCCGACATTGTTTTTGCATATGTACACACCGACTCAACATTAATCTTAGTGACCTCCGATTGGCGTAACCGGGAGTCATTACCGCCGATGTGAATAACAATCTTACTGTATTTACGTTTATCCTTAGCCAGCAGTTTCAAATAAGACTCAACGTCGCCCGCTCTGGCCCCAGGGATGCACTTAACTATGGCCGCTGGCTTCGCTAAATTCACGTTTCTCAAAATGGAACTGCCAATGATCAGAGTTGGTTTCTCAGCGGGTGTGTCGCTGAGTGGGGAAAATCTGTTAGAAACGTGAACAGGTTGATGATGCCCCGTGGACTTTGAATGCTTATGACTATTCCTCCTTCGGACAGTCACCCAGCCCCCCTTTCCTGGCTGCACAGGGGATGCCGGGGGACGGCTACCAGAGGCTAACTCAGGCCGTTCCGCACCGACTACCGGGGACTGGCTAGCTACAGTAGCTAAAGACTGATCTACCAAGGTGCGGAGCCGGACTTCTAAATCACTGAGCCTCGCCTCCATGTCTATAAATAAACTACACTTATTACACGTATCATTACCGCTAAAGGAGGCAGAGGAGTAACTGAACATCTGACACACCGAGCAGGAGAAAGTAGGAGAGAGAGAGGTAGAAGGAGAAGCCATCGCTAGCTGCTAAGCTAAAGTCGCTAACGGCTAAGCTAAAGTACTATAGCGTCAGCTACCAAAACTTTAGAACAACTATGAGATTGAACAGCAGTCACTAAAAGATGGAAAGAACTGTGAGTGCTTAGGCAAAATTACTGTAAAGAATAAGTGTTTAACGAACAGTTGGCTGCTGTAATCTAACAAATGTAACTGTTATTTAGCGAGAGCAGCACAACACGGTACCAAAACACAAGCACCGGAAACGGAAATGAGTCGACACGCTTACCGAAGTACGTCAGCAATCTCATGTTACATATAAAATCTCATGTTTACAGCGAAAGTGTCTTTAACACACCAAAGAACCTGAAACAGGATATAAGATGAAACAGACTGTTGATATGAAACATATTACTAAGATCTGTGTTTCTGTCCAGATCCTCCTTCCAGCCTGCTCGTCTACACCAGAGACGACGTGGAGCTCGGAGAGAAGAACCAGCTGATCTGTCATGTGACTGGTTTCTATCCTGCTCCTGTAAAGATCTACTGGACCAAGAACGGAGAGAACGTGACTGAAGGAACCAGCATCAACGTTCCCTTCCCCAACACAGACGGTTCCTTCAGACAGACGTCCAGACTGGAGTTCATCCCACAGCAGGGAGACATTTACAGCTGCACAGTCCAACATCTGGCCCTGGACAGTCCTCTGACCCGGATCTGGGGTGAGACACTTGATTTAAACTCACACAGACAGACACCTCATTACCTGATGGTTTAATGTCTCTCTGTGTCTCCAGATGGTTTAATGTCTCTGTATTTCTGTTTCCAGATGGTTTAATGTCTCTGTGTTTCTGTCTCCAGATGGTTTAATGTCTCTGTGTCTCCAGATGGTTTAATGTCTCTCTGTGTTTCTGTCTCCAGATGGTTTAATGTCTCTGTCTGTTTCTGTCTCCAGATGGTTTAATGTCTCTGTGTTTCTGTCTCCAGATGGTTTAATGTCTCTGTCTGTTTCTGTCTCCAGATGGTTTAATGTCTCTGTCTGTTTCTGTCTCCAGATGGTTTAATGTCTCTGTCTGTTTCTGTCTCCAGATGGTTTAATGTCTCTGTCTGTCTGTTTCTGTCTCCTGATGGTTTAATGTCTCTCTGTGTTTCTGTCTCCAGATGGTTTAATGTCTCTGTGTTTGTGTCTCCAGATAGTTTAATGTCTCTGTGTTTCTGTCTCCAGATGGTTTAATGTCTCTGTGTTTGTGTCTCCAGATAGTTTAATGTCTCTGTGTTTGTGTCTCCAGATGGTTTAATGTCTCTGTGTTTCTGTCTCCAGATGGTTTAATGTCTCTGTGTTTCTGTCTCCAGATGGTTTAATGTCTCTCTGTGTTTCTGTCTCCAGATGGTTTAATGTCTCTGTGTGTTTCTGTCTCCAGATGGTTTAATGTCTCTGTGTTTCTGTCTCCAGATGGTTTAATTTCTGTGTTTCTGTCTCCAGATGGTTTAATGTCTTTGTGTTTCTGTCTCCAGATGGTTTAATGTCTCTGTGTCTCCAGATGGTTTAATGTCTCTCTGTGTTTCTGTCTCCAGATGGTTTAATGTCTCTGTCTGTTTCTGTCTCCAGATGGTTTAATGTCTCTGTGTTTCTGTCTCCAGATGGTTTAATGTCTCTGTCTGTTTCTGTCTCCAGATGGTTTAATGTCTGTCTGTTTCTGTCTCCAGATGGTTTAATGTCTCTGTGTTTCTGTCTCCAGATGGTTTAATGTCTCTGTCTGTTTCTGTCTCCAGATGGTTTAATGTCTCTGTCTGTTTCTGTCTCCTGATGGTTTAATGTCTCTCTGTGTTTCTGTCTCCAGATGGTTTAATGTCTCTGTGTTTGTGTCTCCAGATAGTTTAATGTCTCTGTGTTTCTGTCTCCAGATGGTTTAATGTCTCTGTGTTTGTGTCTCCAGATAGTTTAATGTCTCTGTCTGTTTCTGTCTCCAGATGGTTTAATGTCTCTCTGTGTTTCTGTCTCCAGATGGTTTAATTTCTGTGTTTCTGTCTCCAGATGGTTTAATGTCTCTCTGTTTCTGTCTCCAGATGGTTTAATGTCTCTGTGTGTTTCTGTCTCCAGATGGTTTAATGTCTCTGTGTTTCTGTCTCCAGATGGTTTAATGTCTCTGTGTTTCTGTCTCCAGATGGTTTAATGTCTCTCTGTGTTTCTGTCTCCAGATGGTTTAATGTCTCTGTGTTTCTGTCTCCAGATGGTTTAATGTCTCTGTGTTTCTGTCTCCAGATGGTTTAATGTCTCTGTGTTTCTGTCTCCAGATGGTTTAATGTCTCTGTGTTTCTGTCTCCAGATGGTTTAATTTCTGTGTTTCTGTCTCCAGATGGTTTAATGTCTCTGTGTTTCTGTCTCCAGATGGTTTAATGTCTCTGTCTGTTTCTGTCTCCAGATGGTTTAATGTCTCTGTGTTTCTGTCTCCAGATGGTTTAATGTCTCTGTCTGTTTCTGTCTCCAGATGGTTTAATGTCTCTGTGTTTCTGTCTCCAGATGGTTTAATGTCTCTGTGTTTCTGTCTCCAGATGGTTTAATGTCTCTGTGTTTCTGTCTCCAGATGGTTTAATGTCTCTGTCTGTTTCTGTCTCCAGATGGTTTAATGTCTCTGTGTTTCTGTCTCCAGATGGTTTAATGTCTCTGTGTTTGTGTCTCCAGATGGTTTAATGTCTCTGTGTTTCTGTCTCCAGATGGTTTAATGTCTCTGTGTTTCTGTCTCCAGATGGTTTAATGTCTCTGTGTTTCTGTCTCCAGATGGTTTAATGTCTCTGTGTTTCTGTCTCCAGATGGTTTAATGTCTCTGTGTTTCTGTCTCCAGATGGTTTAATGTCTCTCTGTGTTTCTGTCTCCAGATGGTTTAATGTCTCTCTGTGTTTCTGTCTCCAGATGGTTTAATGTCTCTGTGTTTCTGTCTCCAGATGGTTTAATGTCTCTCTGTGTTTCTGTCTCCAGATGGTTTAATGTCTCTCTGTGTTTCTGTCTCCAGATGGTTTAATGTCTCTGTGTTTCTGTCTCCAGATGGTTTAATGTCTCTGTGTTTCTGTCTCCAGATGGTTTAATGTCTCTGTGTTTCTGTCTCCAGATGGTTTAATGTCTCTGTGTTTCTGTCTCCAGATGGTTTAATGTCTCTGTGTTTCTGTCTCCAGATGGTTTAATGTCTCTGTGTTTCTGTCTCCAGATGGTTTAATGTCTCTCTGTGTTTCTGTCTCCAGATGGTTTAATGTCTCTCTGTGTTTCTGTCTCCAGATAGTTTAATGTCTCTGTGTTTCTGTCTCCAGATGGTTTAATGTCTCTGTGTTTCTGTCTCCAGATGGTTTAATGTCTCTCTGTGTTTCTGTCTCCAGATGGTTTAATGTCTCTGTGTTTCTGTCTCCAGATGGTTTAATGTCTCTGTGTTTCTGTCTCCAGATGTGGAGACGACCCCCCCCAGTGTTGGACCTGCAGTGTTTTGTGGACTGGGTCTGACTGTGGGTTTGCTCGGTGTGGCTGCTGGAACCTTCTTCCTCATCAAAGGAAACGAGTGCAGCTGATTGGTTTATGATGTGCTCAGGATGTAGTTTTAGCTCTTTATCAAAACACAGTATAAACAGATCCTCAATACTGCAATTCAAATATGTTCAATATATTCTTGCAGATTCTCTTTGTGTTTTTGCTGAAAATAAAATATGTTATAAAATGCTGAAATCATGAAGTAGAGTTTTCTCCATTAAACATAGGGGATAATCAGGATAAAGTCACGTTACTTCAAGTCTGTGTTCTTACAATCAGATGTGCACTGAACGGTTTGTGTATAGGTTAATTTCTTCTCTTGTTAAAGTGAATCCAGGGTCATGCTCCCTCTCTGTGTTTCCATGCTGAAAATGTTTGTATGTCTGAAAATTCCCACTCATTTAACAAAATAAACATTATATCAGCTTTAAAATTAAATGTTTCAACTAAATGTTCAGTGAGCTTGTATATAATTACTTCTTCTTCCTCTGGAATAAAACACTTACTTATATTTGATGTCCGACCCTCCTTTCTGACCTCTGACGTGAAGCTTGTCCACATACTAATCAGGAGAAACAGGTATATCACAACAAAATCAGAGAACACGTCAGTCCACAGAAGAGTTTCTTTAATCTGCTGAATGTGACTGAACACAGAAACCATCACACAAGTATCTCTCTTTTTTGTTTGATTATTTACTCTACAGTACACTTGAGCCTCAGTTGCTGTTGCTGTGGAGACGAAGACATTCAGAGCTGGAGAGAATTCAAAACACTTTGTTGGTAAATCTCTCATCAAAAGTACTTGGTAGGTGACGCTTAACAACTGTGATGTGAAAACATAATAGATATTAAAAGATCCTTTCTCCTTTGGAGGACCCGTGTCTGGTAGTTTAGTTTAGTCAAATAGTAAGTTACAGCTGTCCACCTGCTCTGAGACACTCAATGTTGGCAATAAGACTGCAGTACCGTACTTGGTCACCACACCTCTTCTCATACCGAACTAGCACAGGACAAAACCTCAGTACTCCCACAAAAAAACAAGAGCTGTGATTCTCACCAGTACAGGGAGCCTGTTCTTATCCCAGGGCATCACGTATGGACGCTTTGTCAACAACCTTTTTAACGCCGTGGGTACCCTTTCAACCCGGTCTCACTCACACACGCTTGGTCAAGAGCCATAATCGTCAGTTTGTGACGCACTAGGGATCCCTTTGACGTCATAGTTTGACGTATTGAGGGAAGCCCTGTTGTGTCAATTTTTGATGGTAAAGGCAAGTATGATATTTAAGAGAAAAGACGAAGTAAGGAGGTGATTGGGGTGGATAGAGGGCCAGAACCCGGACCTTGAAGCAGGAGAACAGGGTTTGTGTCCCGTGCGAAACAAAACATTAAATGTTTTTATTTAGGCGAGTGAGGTAAATTGACATTAACGTTAGTTAACTTAAGTCTTAATTGACATACATAGCTATTTTAACCCAAACCATGATCTTTTCCTAACCTTAACCAAGTAGTTTTGTTGCCTAAACCTAACGAAACTGCAACGTTTCTTTAATTATTTAATTATTTAATTATTTAATTAACGACTTTAATTATGCGCGTTTCAACATGGCAATGTATCGAAACGTTACGTTTTATCTTGAAAGTGTAACCGGATATTGCATATTTATTGTTGCTAAGCGTTGCTAACTTGACTGTGGATCCCTAAACGTCAATAATTGATGCAAAAGGGCTACCCAAGTCTTTAAAAGGCGACGACAAAGGGCCTTGACCATGCGTCAGACATTTGACGAGTAGGGAGTGAGACTGTGTTGACCCTTTACCTTTTTGCACGTGTAGGGCTCCGCGTTCAAGTTAGCAAGAATAACTAGGCAACAGCCAGTTAGACATTCAAAATAAAACTACTGCCTAACATGAAATGGCACATGATTAACATAAAAGGTTGTAAAACATTGCAATTTGGTTAGATTTAGGCACAGAAACTACTTGGTTAGATTTAGGGAAAGATCATGGTTTGGGTCAAAATAATGTTACTTAAATTACTTACATTCAGTAACCTAACGTTATATCACTAAAAGCAATGAAAGCTGACTTTGAGTTTCAACTAGTTGAAATGATTTAAGACAAACATCTACTTCGGAAAGTTGAGCCTTTAAGTTTCTAAATGTTGAAGATGTCCATAAATAGTCAAGCCCTAAATTATTCATACCCCTGGCAAATTCTGACTTAAAGTTACTTTTATTCAACCAGCAAGTTGTTTCTTGATAAGAAATGACACAGGCGTCTCCCAGAAGATAATAACACGATGTACACGAGGCATCATTGTGGAAAAAATTATTACTCATCTTTTATTTACATTTGAACAAAAAGTGGCATGTCCAAAATTATTCATACCCGTCTCAATAATCAATCGAAAAGCCTTTATTGGCGATTACAGCAATCAAACACTTGCTATAATTTCTGAACAGCTTTCTGCAGGTCTCCACTGGTATTTTTGCCCATTCATCTTTAGCGATGAGCTCCAGCTCTTTCAGGTTGGAGGGTCTCCTTGCCATCACCCTGATCTTTAGCTCCCTCCACAGATGCTCAATGGCATTTAAGTCAGGACTCTGGCTGGGCCACTGCAAAACGTTAATGTTTTTGTCTGCTAACCATTTCTTCACCGCATTTGCTGTGTATTTTGGTTTGTTGTCGTGCTGAAATGTCCACTGCTCCCCAAGGCCAAGTTTCTCTGCAGACTGCCTGATTTTGTTGTTAAGAATTTTGATGTATTGCTCCTTTTTCATGGTGCCGTTTACTGTGATTAGGTTCCCTGGTCCACTGGCTGAAAAACAACCCCAAAACATCAGGTTCCCACCACCATGTTTGACAGTGGGGATGGTGTTCTTAGGGTTGAAGGCTTCTCCTTTTTTTACGCCAAATGAAGGCTACATCATTGTGGCCAAACAATTCAATTTTTGTTTCACCTGACCATAAAGCAGAAGACCAGAAGTCTTCTTCTTTGTGTGCATTGCACCAGCGATGTGCAGTGTCCGTTGGACTGTCTGCTTTGAGATGTTGCCACCTGCAGAGCCCAGATTCATCAGGATGGCCTTGGTGGTGATCCTTGGATTCTTTTTTACCTCTCTCACTATCCTCCTGGCCAGCACAGGTGTCACTTTTGGCTTCCGACTACGTCCTCTGAGATTTTTCACAGTGTGGAACGTCTTGTATTTTTTAAATAATACTGTAGCCACTGGAAATTTAAAACATTTAGATATGGTCTTACAGCCCTTTCCTGACTTGTGGCCAGCCACAATGCGTAGCTGCAGGTCCACAGTGAGCTCCTTTGTCTTAGCCATGACTGTCCACAAACCAACAGCAGAGAGCTTCTGATCTTCACCTGTTGATTAAGACAGCTGTTCCCAGTGACTCAGGGTAATTAGGATGCTTTACAACAGCTTGGACTATTTGGATTGTATAGATCTTTGGATTTTCCCACAGACTGTGACAGTTTGGAAAGGCTATGAATCATTTTGGACATGCCAGTTTTTGTTCAAATGTAAATAAGAGATGAGTAATATATTTTTACACAATAATGCCACTTGTACATCGTCTTCTTTCCTTCTGGGAGACGCCTGTGTCATTTCTAATCAAGAAACAACTTGCTGGTTGAATAACAGTAACTTTAAGTCAGAGATTGCCAGAGGTATGAATCATTTTGGGCTTGACTGTAAGTGATGGTTCCTGCCTTGCAGTGGTACACTGAATCTGGTCCTAAAACTGCTGATCAATAACCTCCAGATAATGTAGACGTATCAATAACAGCGATCAGTAACAGAGCGTGACTTGTGTCCCATCGTCTGCCTGGTAACAGATGATGATCAATAACCTCCAGATAATGTAGACGTATCAATAACAGCGATCAGTAACAGAGCGTGACTTGTGTCCCATCGTCTGCCTGGTAACAGATGATGATCAATAACCTCCAGATAATGTAGACGTATCAATAACAGCGATCAGTAACAGAGCGTGACTTGTGTCCCATCGTCCTCCTGGTAACAGATGATGATCAATAACCTCCAGATAATGTAGACGTATCAATAACAGCGATCAGTAACAGAGTGTGACTTGTGTCCCATCGTCTGCCTGGTAACAGATGATGATCAATAACCTCCAGATAATGTAGACGTATCAATAACAGCGATCAGTAACAGAGCGTGACTTGTGTCCCATCGTCCTCCTGGTAACAGATGATGATCAATAACCTCCAGATAATGTAGACGTATCAATAACAGCGATCAGTAACAGAGCGTGACTTGTGTCCCATCGTCTGCCTGGTAACAGATGATGATCAATAACCTCCAGATAATGTAGACGTATCAATAACAGCGATCAGTAACAGAGCGTGACTTGTGTCCCATCGTCTGCCTGGTAACAGATGATCAATAACCTCCAGATAATGTAGACGTATCAATAACAGCGATCAGTAACAGAGCGTGACTTGTGTCCCATCGTCTGCCTGGTAACAGATGATGATCAATAACCTCCAGATAATGTAGACGTATCAATAACAGCGATCAGTAACAGAGCCTGACTTGTGTCCCATCGTCTGCCTGGTAACAGATGATCAATAACCTCCAGATAATGTAGACGTATCAATAACAGCGATCAGTAACAGAGCGTGACTTGTGTCCCATCGTCTGCCTGGTAACAGATGATGATCAATAACCTCCAGATAATGTAGACGTATCAATAACCGCGATCAGTAACAGAGCGTGACTTGTGTCCCATCGTCTGCCTGGTAACAGATGATCAATAACCTCCAGATAATGTAGACGTATCAATAACAGCGATCAGTAACAGAGTGTGACTTGTGTCCCATCGTCTGCCTGGTAACAGATGATGATCAATAACCTCCAGATAATGTAGACGTATCAATAACAGCGATCAGTAACAGAGTGTGACTTGTGTCCCATCGTCTGCCTGGTAACAGATGATGATCAATAACCTCCAGATAATGTAGACGTATCAATAACAGTGATCAGTAACAGAGTGTGACTTGTGTCCCATCGTCTGCCTGGTAACAGATGATCAATAACCTCCAGATAATGTAGACGTATCAATAACAGCGATCAGTAACAGAGTGTGACTTGTGTCCCATCGTCTGCCTGGTAACAGATGATCAATAACC